TTAAACAGTCACTTATCAATTTGAAATAATGCTTTTGAATTTAAGAGCTCAACATTAGCTATTATGACAGAGTAGATTATTTTTCCAAATGTACACTTCCTTTTTGAATAAAATATTAAATATTCAACAAAGCTTTCCCCCAAAGATGTGTGGGAATCCTACTTGAAAGATACTGGAGGTGCTTATTCTTTGAAACCCCCAAGTGTTCTTTCATATAATACAAATCTATATTTTAAAGCTATTTTCATTTAAGCAAGAGAGCAATATTTTCAATTATAGTGAAGAAAAACTTATTGTTGGAAATTCCCAGAATTTTAAGAAGATAATAATGTTCAAAGGCATTAAACTGAATTAAAACCTCACTAATGCTTCAAAATAGAATGCTAGTACAGGCATGGGTAATGAACCATGAGAGAAAAGTATTGATTTTTATCACTGTGAGTAATAAGAGGCTGAATTATTCAATGACAGAAGATTGAGAGCTTTTGGTTGAAACCACTTTATATTTAAAATTTTGTCGCTTAATTTTGACATGATTATTTGTAGTACAAAATTTTCCTATCTCTGTAAATTTGCTTGGTTTGGACACCTGAAATTGGAATCATGTGGTATGTGAAACTTCAGGCCTGTATTCTTTCACTTAACAGAATGCTTCTGAAGTCATCTATGTTATAACATGTGACAATATTTCATTCCTATTTATTACAGAATGATATTTCATCTTAGCATATATATCACATTTTTCTCATCTATCAGCTGGCTGATGGACAGTAGGTCATTTCTTCTTTTGTGTACAACAAAACACATTGCTGTAGACATTTATGCACAAAGTTCTTCATGAATCTCTGTTTTTATTTCCCTTAGTACATGCAGTGTAATTGTTGGTTCATATAACTGTATTTAATCATTTGAGGATTTGCCTGATTGCTTTTCCAAAGCCTGATTGCTTTTCCAAAGCTGGGCCATTTACATTCTAAGCAGCAAACATGTGAGTATCTCAACTTGTCATGATTTGTCTTGTTGTTATACCCATACTAGTGGGTGTGAAGTTCTATTTTGTGATTTTCATTAGCATTTTCCTTTGCATCTTCTCAGGAGCTTATTGGATGTTTGGATACCTTCTTTAGCAAAATATTTTCCCATTTTTAACTTAGGTTATTCTTTTTATTGAGTTGCAATAGTTTATGATATATTCTAGGTACATATTGATTACCAGGTATATGACTCACCAAAATCAGTCTCCGGATTATTTTTTCAATTTTGTTAAGTTGTCTTTTGAAACACAAAAAGCTTTAACTTTTTGCCTCCGGGTTATATCTGTGTATTCTTGTACTGTATGTGCTTTGGGTCTTCTATGTAAGAACAGATTTAATGAAATAAGTTCACAAAGAATTAATTCCTATTTTTTTAAGAGTTTTAGAGTTAATATAACTCTTACATTTGGGTTCAAATCCATTCTGAATGAGTTGGTCTTTGACACGAGCCCATAATCCAGTTTATAGCATCATTTGCTATAAAGACTGTTCTTTCTTCTTAATCCTAGCAATGATATCCCCCTGGTCCTTTTTTATATCTCTTCCTTTCTGGTGTTTACTGTTCTGAACATTCTCCACTGCTATAACTGAATACATGAGACTGAGTGATTAATAAAAGACAGTGATTTATTTCTTACATTTTTGGAGGCTGGGAACTCCAGTAGCAAGCTGCCTACATCTGGTGAGAGGCCTTCTGCTCTATTATCCCATGGGAGGACGTGGAAGGGCAAGAGAACATAAAAGAGCAAGAGGAGGCTGAACTCAGTTTTCTTACTCCTGCAATAACAGCATCATAGGAATGCACTGATGACAGCACAGCCCTCACTTCTAATCCCCTCTTATTAAGCTTCAACTCTCAACACTGTTGCACTGGGAATGACCTTTCTAATCCATAAGCTTTGGGGGACACAGTCAAACCACAGTAACTATCTTTTGACTCGACGGTCACCTCTGATTTGTTTGAGTTTTAAACTCAAGTCCTTGTGCCAATCGAGTTCTACTGGGTCCACGTCCTGATACTGCAGTAGAACAGTGTGGGTATGATTGTCTCCAGATAGCAACAACACAAGCCATCCTAATACCAAAGAAAACCTAAGGGCAGATTTTCCCTTTAGTGCCTCTGTGGCACCGTTACTAGGAAGGCAATGAATATTCATTATCTTAGAACACAATTTAGTTGGGTAGTGTTAAGGAAATTTTCATGGGGAAAATATCATAGATGATGATTAGGAGTGGGCATATTGGGATTCCTAACATATTCATTTAGAAAACTTGTGTGGAAGGGAGTAAAAGGTTTCCTTAGTGACATTTTAGACTCTCTAATCTGGCACCTTTGGTCTCCATGGATTCTCAATGAGAAGCTTTACAGCAGACAAATCAGTCTGTTCCTCAAATATGTTCTTCTATTACTTCAGTCACCTTGTTTTCTAAACAATCCTTTTTATGAGTAATTACTACATGCTAAGCTTTCTGCCTGGTAACAAGTCTCTTGTTCATTTCTATAGACTTCATCCTTCCTTAAGATAGAGTTTGAAGTATGTTGATCATCCCTTACCTTGGATTCCCGCCACCTCCCCCCCAAGTCTGTACTTGCTGCTACTTGTCTAGCTGGCATTATGTGTCAGCCCTGGTGTTGGATTGCTGGCTAGCTTTCCCCAGTGCGCTTGTAATCTAGCACTCTGGCTAGGCCCTCACACACTGTGCCTTTAGTGTATGTTTTCTGCATATAATAAAAAGTAATCCTTGCAGCAGCTGTCCTTGAATAACCTGCTTCCTTCGAGGTCCATTAGCAGGGTACTCACAGGACCTGAAAGTTTTTAAATGATCTTGCTGACATCTGAGTTCAACTGCAGATTCTGAAACAAGGTCATGTTGCTAGAGCCAGAGTTCCCTGCAAGGAGCTGGCACACTGCACATCTCACACAATAGGTGAGAAGATTCCAGAGCTCTGAAATCAAGCAGATGCAGATTAGCGTAATTCTTAACGTCAATCAAGTTTCTGCACCATACCATGTGTGTGCTTTCTAGTAATCATAACAGTGGTTTTTCAGAAATAAGAGAGTCGGGATACAACTGCCAACAAGGACACAATGATGGGCTCACCTGGATAAGGACAAGCTACAGGCTGCATCCTGCAGTCCTGTCTATGTGAAAAAACTTTTCATTTCCTGTATGAATGACCTAGGTTGTCCACTTGGCTGGTACATTGTTAAGGGGCACAAACATATCAGATTGCTCTACAGAAAATAGGTAACCTTTGGAATTCCCTTTAGATAATTATTATCAATAAGTTAGCAGAACTGAAACTCATTGGAGGGCTCATTAGGAATTACATAAATGTTCATAAATCAGAGACTGTCACTCTGCTAAGCACTAATTTTAAATGAAAACTAGCTCTGGGTTTTTATAAAAACTACACCCAAAATGTTCATCAGAGGAAAAAAAAAAACACTGCCTTTCTCCCATATTTCTGTTTGCTTACTTTTAAAGCTGATCAAGCTTTTTCTTTTTCTTGCTGTAGTTAGCCTTTTGCTTTGTTTCAGACTTATTTATAGGCATCCAGAGGAAGACTGTTTCACCCCAAGAGATCGTGGGGGTCGCCAGGAAGAAGTGAAAACTGCCAGCGATGATAACCTTGTTAAGGCCACTTATTTTCTTACTTTTAACAGATTGTATTTTTAAATTATGACTATACTGAGACTGATGTATTGATGTTCGAGTCCTGAGGCATTCCACGAACACTAAGAATATACATTTTCTTTGTTCTAATCTCAGCCTCTGAGTAAAGACCAGTGGACTGGGCTCTTCATAAATATGTATGGACGCCCGGTTGGGTACTAACGTGGGGCTGCGCTGATTAGCAAGTGCTAGTGCGGAAGCAGAGGAAACACTACAAAAGGCGAAAAGATGCTATTAGCAGCAGGCACCCCTCCCTCCCTCCTTTCCTCCCTTCCTCCCTCCCCCCTCATCTCTCCTTTTCGCTTCTAAAGGGTCCTCGGGGGAAGAGCACAGGAAGGAAGAAGCGAATTAGTTTTACCTGGTTTACTCCTTCCTTGCCAGTTAGACCCTAACACAAAGCCTCCATCCTAACTCGAGGGTGAAATCGGGAATAGAAATATATTGCACTTGTTTAGCATAGATTTCTCTACACAAAACGGAAAGTAATGAGGCTATGCTGTCTCTAGGATATAAAGGACTAGAAAGTAACATCTTCATGAGTTTCATACTAGAGCCTCAGCTTCCCTTTGAAGATAAACTACTGCATCGAACTTTCAGCAGCAGAAACCCCGAACAAGAGAACTGCTTAGCTAACCACGTGGGCCAGCAGTAGGTTCTGTCGCAATTTCAGAGCCTTAGCAAGCTGCAGAGGATGAACTGGCGGAAGGTACCGGCTCACAGCCAGGCTGACCCGCAAGAAGACCATCGGCTCCCCAGTCTCGGCTCTCGCAGCCTGTTGCTCGTGGACTAAGCGAGGGGTCAAGTGCAGCTCAGGCCAGGAGTCCAGTTGGGGGTTCAGAAAGGTTAGGATTCCACCCAGGCTGCGACGCCGACCACGTACCGTCTCAGATCCCTAGTCCCAGCCAGCCCACTTCGACCCAACACCAAGTCCCTAGGACAGGCGGCTCTATCGCCTTGGGGAGCCAGCGGGTGCTGGGAGCAGGATATCCGATCGTGCAGAAAACAAGGCACCCCTTCCAGTTGGATCGAGACTTGGAACAGTGAAACTGTCCAGGTGGAGGGCGGAGGAGAGCGAACGCGGTGGGGAGGAGCCAGGGCGCTCAGAGATGCCCCTGTCGGTGGATGGTACGGCCCGAGGAAGGCGGGGCCCGGAGGCCCTGCGCATCTGTTCCCGGCCGGCTCCCGCTGCCGAGCCCGGCCCAGCCAGCCAGCGAGCGAGCGCCCCGCAGACCCCGCCCCCGGCGCCGGCATCTGGCTCCGCCCCTCCGAGCCGCCCCCTCCGCGACAGCGGGGACAGCTCGGCTGCTCTGCGGACGCCGCCACCTCCGCCGCCTCTACACCCTCCCGCGGTGTGCCCAGGCCGCTCCTGGCGGCGACGCTGCCCTGGGTGGACGGCGGGCCCGGGCGGCAGCTGAGCTCCGGGTGCGGCGGCGCCAGCTCTCCGGCCCGCTCGGCGCCGTGACAGGTGCAGGGTCCCCGCCGGAGACCCACCTGCGGCCGCCGTCGCGATGCCCACGATGCGGAGGACAGTGTCGGAGATCCGCTCTCGCGCGGAGGGTGAGTGGCGGTCGCAGCCGGGCTGTGCGCCGAGCGCGCGTGGGGGCGGCTCTGTGCAGCCTGGGGTCGGCGAGTGTGTGTGTGTGTGTGTGTGTGTGTGTGTGTGTGTGTGTGTGTGTGTGTGTGTGTGGGGGGGGGGGGGCGGG